TATATATACTTATATGCCTTTGTAATACGCTCTCTCCCTCTTTCCACTGAGGTTCTATTTGTAATGAGGTCGAGATTCGCAGTAAGAGGAGGAGGAGGAGGGGTCAAAAGAAGCCCACAGCGATAATTTATTACCATGTAAATTTATTCGTTTTTTATATGTAAAACTCGAATTGCTGTATAAAATACTGTAGGTATACACACCACCATTTTCTGCGTATATTTTATCCTCGCGCGCGTAGATGGTAATTATTTAACGTGTAATGATGATGATGATGATGATGATGATGATGTTTTGCTTGGATTTCGTATTTATGCAATTAGTAGGGAGTACATTGGTTAGATGTCGTTTTTATTCGTTCCAATAAAAATCTTCATTAACCGCTGAGAACGTTGGTATGTCTTTATTTTATTTATGTTATATGCATCTATGTTTGGACATCTTCTGCTCCTAAACCAGGGGGCTCGTTGTCAGAAACACAATCTGTCTTGACATTAGTATTTACATTGACTTATTTATCGTAGATTTAATAATAATAATAATAATATTATTAATAATAATCAGTTGCTGGTTCTTTATGCTGACATTTCATCTGCTGTGTCGGACAGTAACATTAACAGTGGATAAAAGTAATTACCTATTCCTTACTCCCCTCTCCCGGATTCTAGCGCCATCTAGTGTGAATAATAATTATGAAGTGCGTATTATTCCTTACTCCCCTCTCACGGATGGTATCGCCCATGGTCAGTCAAGCGTGAAAAATCATTGACAGAAAGTCTTTGTGTTTCGGATCAAACTTTTTCACCACCCGAGGCATAAATGTGAATTTACCCACCGCGTGTGCGCGTCCGGGCGTGTCTGTATGTGTGTGCGCCTGCGCGTGCGTGCGTCTCTGTGTGTGCGCGCGCTATTACTCGGACGGATCATGCCATCCCGAAGCATTTTCTCGACCTCCCTGTTCATCAATCAATCGTCTCGGGGCTTGCTTAATAGGGGGGTGCGTACCCGTATTAATTGTATGCACGAGACCCGTATGACCTAACCTCTCACCAGGAGCGGTGAACAAAGAGCGCTATTATTTAGTAGCGCTATTATTGCAGCTAGTTTCTTATAAAAAATTTCTGGGTCACGCCCCGGCCCAGTGTTGAACACTGGCCGCAGCGCTTACTACCCAAGGACCACGGCCGGAGCCGCTATCCATTC